ACACCACACACACACACACCACACACACCACACACACACACACACACACACACACACACACACACACACACACACACACACACACACACACACACACACACACACACACACACACGCACACCCCACCCCACCCACCCCCCAGCACCTCAGGAGAACCAGTGATTTGTAGAATCGCCGAGGCCTTCTTGGACGCTCAAATCGGTCGCGGCACCTCCATTCCAGGTCCAGGGGAGGGGGTGGGGGGAGGGGTTAAGTTGCCCCCTCCCCGCCCGCGGGCCGTCTCGCTCAATCCCACCCGCCCTCCCAACGCATACGTAGCACCCGTGTCTGGCCCGAGCCTCAGCATATTCAGCAGTCGTCTTGGGGTGGGGAGCTACTGGGGGCCAATCCGCCTCCGCCTCCTCCTCCTCCTCGTCCTCCTCCTTCTCCTCCTCCTCCTCGTCCTCCTCCTCCTCCTCCTCCTCCTCCTCCTCTGTCCTCCCCCTCTCGTTGTATGGCGGCTTCCCCAATCCCTTATTCCACTGCGTGCTCCTCCGTATCCGGGATCAGGGCAACTCGCCTGGACATCGTTTCTGCATGAGCTCGTGGAGTTACGCGAAGCGCCTAGACTAAGATCTTGGCATCTGCGGGCCTAGGGGGTCGGCGGCGTGGCGTAAGCTAGTGAAACATATGTCCAAGAATTCTCGCCGACCCCGCAGGCAGTGGAAGGCAAAAAACTGAAGCACGCGGGCATCATTACAGAACCTCCGCACAAATCTTTCCGTCTTGCTCTGTCTGACCTGGCCAGCGCCATCTTCTGAAGTAGCCTCACGGGACGAGAACTCGGAGAGGGTCGATCCCAGCCTCGGTTAAGCTTCGGCCGAACCTCTCCATGAATGACCCCCGAGCTGTGACCCACGCGTGGCTGGCGAACTCCCACTCGTGGAAGTCAGGCCCTGCTTGCGAGCACCGCATGGCCTGCTCATCGTCACCGAGCGCGAGAACCAGCTAAGCCCAAAAGGGAGAGGCGGTTAGGCTCTCCTCGCTCCCGCCATCTGTGTTCGCCAGCGGTGCTAGGCGCCCATCGGCGCCTCCAGGCCACTTTCTCCGGCGCTTGCCGAGGAGAAGTGCAAATCTCCCAGGCCAGAGAACGACCTCTGGCCCCTCCTCCTGCTCGGGCGCGGCCATATCTGCGAACGCACGGATCAATGTAATGCATCCGTGGACCTCTTGATCTTTGCCGCATGAGGAACGAAATCCAAGTGAACAGGGCGCGCCGAAGTTGAATTGAACCCCAACTCCGCGGGAACAGCCCCCCTCGGTGCATCAATCTTTGACTGGAGAGGGAAGACTGTTGGTTGGCGGGGGGGCTGGCGGTAAGCAGCAAACGCGGGGCGGGGGAGCTCGGCGTCGGTCCCAGACATCCTCCAATGCAATCGGACCCAGGACTGAAGAACATCCCACAAGAACACGAGGCCATCCGCCGGCCAAAACAACCCAAACCATACGATCACTCGAGAATCTCATCCCCCGGGATGCCCCCAAAACATCCCACAAACTGTTTTTTTTTTTTTTGCGTCGGCGGCTAGGCAGAGAAACTGCGCTGGCGGAGAGCTAACTAAACGGGGGTGCCGTTGTAGCGAAGTGCGCCACCATGCAGGAGAAGGGGGCAGGGCAGAGGAAGCGGCCGAAGGAGGGGGCGGGAAGGGAGCGAGGCCTCTCAGGGGGACGGGTCACGCCCTGAGCGCGTGGAACATCCCACAAACACGCAGAACAATAGGTTACCCTCCACGAGCCGACCTCGATCTTGTACCTCGGTCCGGCTGTCTGATTTGTTGTTCAATCCGCGACCCCCCAGCAGCTCCCGTCTCCTGCCTCTGGGGGTAGCGCCTCGCCCCGTGGATCCCATGCCGGTGGCCCCGAGGCCCGAAAGACGGGCCCCAGAGGTCGAGATCGAGGGACACGGCCCAGATCGAACAAATCTTATCGTCGCTGGCGGCCCGCTCAAGCCGCCGCGTTAGGCCGCTATGCAATCTCGCGTAGGGCCCGCTCTTGATCGTGGAAAAAACGCAGCGTGCCGCACTCGCGTCCCGCGTAAGCTGTGGCGTAAGGCCGCTGTGCCATCTCGCGTGAGGCCCGCTTTTGAGAGCCGCTCGTGTGGTCGTCCAGCTTCCCCGAGCTGTTTCGGGGCCCCTGCCATCGAGGCGGAGCCCAGAGATCCGGGGTCCCCAGTCCCAGCTCTCATTGGCCATGCCGCGGAGAACCCACGAGCTGGCCTGGCAGGGCCGTCCTGCCGCACCGCCCGAGCGGCAACGGCCAGGCCGCCCGGCGCAGCGAGAGAGGGTCGGGGGGACGATCAGCACCGCCATCGGCTCGCGAGGCTCTGGCCGGAGACTCCGGACCCTCTGGCGCCAACCTGATCGGACAAGAACGCAGAGCGCCGCGTTTGTCCGTTAGGCTCGTAAACCAACAAAAAGAAGTGGGCGACGACAAGGCGGCCGATAACGAGGATGACGGCGTGGATGACGGGGAGAGTAGCGAAGCTCTGGCCGGAGAGTCTGGACCTTCTGGCGCCAATCCGCCGGTGCCCGTGGGCCGTACATGCATTCGATGCAACTGTCGACCTCTTGACTTGTGCCCTGGCAAATGTTGAGCTTGTCTGGACGAGGCGTACCGAAAGTAAACTGAAGCCCAACTCCACAAGAACGGCCCCTCGGTGTACCAGCTTTTGACGACAAGAGGGGGGGAAGCCTGTGCTGGGTGCGGGCGGCAAGCAATAAAACGCAAACTAGACAACGGAAAACGGAAACCGGAAAACGGAAAACGGAAACCGGAAACCGGAAAGCGAAAAACGGAAACCTGGAAAACGGAAAACGGAAAACGGAACTTCGCTTTTTTGCCCAAAGACAAAAAAAAGAAATAGATAAAATACGACTGAAAAAATTAAACTAAGACCACGATCCCCAGGATCCACATAAAAAGTCCGGAACCGAAACGGAAAAAACGGAAAACCGGAAACCGGAAAACGGAAAACGGAAACCGGGAAAACGGAACTTCGTTTTCTGCCCAAACCGGAAAACGGAAAACGGAAACCGGAAACCGGAAAACGGAAAACAGAAACCGGAAACCGGAAAACGGAAAACGGAAACCCGAAAAAAGGAAAACGGAAAACGCAACTTCGCTTTCTGCCCAGACCGGAAACCGGAAAACGGAAACCATGGAACGGAAACCGGAAAACGGAAACCGGAAAACGGAAAACGGATTTTCGTTTTCTGCTCCAGGGTTATGTTTTCCGTTTCCGTTCCGGTCCGGCGCGCCTGCTGACCGGAATCATCTGCGGTGGTGTTCTGGAGGGGCAAGGAGGAGGTGGTCACAGGGTCCGTAGGTCTCGTAGTGCTGAGGAACTGATTTGGCTCATGGGTTCGTAGGGAGGATCGAAAAAGCTCGTAGAGCTCATGGCAAAGGTGTCTCGGATTTTTCTGCAAGGCACATGGGGCTCACAGGGGTCGTAGGAGTGACAGGGTTGGGAAGGGTCGTAGGGCTCATGCACTGAGAAAGATGATGGGACTCGTATGGGTTAGAAAGCGTATGAGGTCGTGAGGGGCATCGGGCCGTACGGCGCCTTGGACTCATGAGCGTACGTGTTGCAGGGGGCTCGTAGGGGTCATAGGGCAGATGGGGCTGATGGGGCTCTGAGGGCGCATAGCGCTGACAGGGGGCTGTAGGGTTCGCAAGGCTCGACGGGCTCGTACGGTCGTCGGGCTCCCAGGTGTCGTAGGGCTCAGGAGCTCATTGTGCTCATGGGCCCGTAAAGCTTATGGGCCTCAGAGGGCCTTGGGGGGAGGCGTCTCGGGGGCCTCTTGGAGGGCGCATACGGGTCGCTGGCCTCATACGGCTCATACGGCTCATAGCGCCATCTGAACTCGTCTTGCGGAGCCCTGTGGGCAATTTCGCTACCTTCTTGGGCCGTCTCGGGCTCCCATGAAGCCAGTTGAACCGCTCGTACTGCGTGAGGGCGCGAGATCGCGCGCTCAAGGTTTGGAAACGTCTTGGTGTTTAGACTTGGGCACGTGTTCAACACATCTACCACACCTCGCGAAACATAATGAATTCGGCCTCTCAAAGCCTTCGTGGGGATCCTTCTGTGGCTCTGTTGGGCAATCTGGCGGCCTTCCTGGGCCGTCCCGAGACCCTCTTGAACCGTCTTAGGGGGATTTAGGTCGTCTTAAAACTTTCTTGGGGTTCTCTTGGGCCCTCTTGGGGGCCTCCTGTTGCCTTCTTGGGGCTCTCTTGGAAGCTTTTTGGGACCCTCTGGGCCCCGTCTTGGGCCGTCTTGGGAACGTTTGGGCCGTCTTGGGGCCTCTTTTGGAGACTTGTTGAGCCGTGTTGAAGCGATATGTGGGGTCTCTTGAGCCGTCTTGGACTCCGTGGTGACTAGGGAAGCGAATCTGTTGGACATGCACGATTTCTCATGCGTCTTGCAACGTCTTGGGGGTCCCCTTGGGGGCCTCTTGCAACGTCTTGGGGGCCTCGAGCGGCCTTGGGCCGTGTCGGCGCTCAGCGTGACCGTCTGGGAAGCGATCCTGGGCCCGCTCGGGCGGCGTAGGATGGGAGATCCTTAGACGACTCTGGGATCTGAGGGGTCCAGGTCCAGTCTTGGGCCAGGAGCTTTCCTCGGGAGACTGCGGCGACAGAAAACGGAGGTACTGAGGGAGAATGCCTGCAAATCTTCCGAACCCTGCCTATGAGAGCGCGTGGGAGGGCTGTGGGGCTGCGCATTGAAACAACAGCTCCTTGCCTGTGTAAGTTTCAGGGGTCCACGACCAGTCGGAGTCAGTCCCAGAGGAGCGGTCTTGACCGTGTGCGGGGGTGGTCGGTGCTCGTGAGAGGAGCTTTGTGGGGCCGCTCTGCTGTGCTACCAAGGGTTGTCTAACAACGCCCCTTGAAACCCAAGGGAAGCAGCTGGAGCTCCTGAGGCAGGAGAGCAGGTAGATATGCCTGATTCTCTGGTGCGCACCAGGTCAGGCAGTGTAGAGGTGATTATGTATCACATTGGGCTCCGACTTCGCCTCCCACGTTTCCCTGAGCAGCGACAGCGCAGGCTGCCACTGCCCGCATTTCCCGCAGGCGCTGATTCCGCCGCTGTAACTGACTCGGGCTGATCTGTATGCTTTGTTCCCGAGAGCGCACTCGCATCCAAGGGTCTCGGGTGCCCCGCAATCGGAGGGCCCCCTCCAGAGGTTGGTCGATGGGGGCCCCCGGGAGGCGGCCTTCTGGCGGGGCCCCCGAAGGATCGACTCGATCAAATTGTACCCCATACGTGGAGGGAGGTCGCCCTCAAGGAGCGCCCGGTCGAACTAACCGATGCTGTGCGCAGACATCGCCACGCACCGCTGGTCTTGATCGATACCGCGGGCGGCCCTTTGGAGCGTGAGGGATGGTGGCGGAGTGGAGGCTTTGAGCGGGAAGGGCCGCGGAGTTTACGGTCGGGAGCTCTTGTTTAGTGTCGCGGCGGCGGCCCCAGCGACACGCCATGTCCTTCGAGCTGATGGCGTGTCGCTCCGTTCCGCAGGACGGGAGGACAGGGAAAGCTCGGAACATGGGTGCTTGGGGACTGGGACGTGTTTAGCGTGTCGGGCCGAGCCGCGGTGGGCCAGAACAGGTGGAGCAACACGCTAAGCAAACGTTCCCGACAGTACACCTTGAGCTCTCTCGCGTGCGCTGCGCTTGAGTCCTTCTCCTCCTCCTCCTCCTCCGTCTCCTCCTCCTCCTCGCTCGGCTCCCCCCCCCCTCCCAGAACCCCCCTCCTTGAATGGAAACCGTTCGGCTCCAATCTCACCTCCCGCATCTCGCTGATCAAGAACAATGCCCGCTGCCACTCTACACCTGTGTTGCACGCGCTGATCCCAGCGTTGTAGCTAATGTGGTCTGGCTGTAGATCCAGCGACCACATCTCCCTGAGCAGCCATAGCGCCTGCTGCCACTGATTGCAATTTCCGCACGCGCTGATTCCGCTGCTGTAGAAGACTAGTGTGTGCCCGTGGAGCACACCCGCAAGTGCCATGGCAGGGTAACGCGGCTGGGCCGACAGGCGGCGACAGCCTATTGGTTGACATATGGAGGAGGCTGCGTTGTGGCATCCTTTGAGGGGAGCTCTTCGGGCTCTCTGGGAGCGCTCTTGGGGTCATCCGCACCTGGGGCTCGGATGGATCATCTCTGGGCCATCTCGGGTCGTCTTGGGCGCCTCTTGGGCCGCCTTGGGGCTCGCTTGGGCCGTCTTGGGGCCCACTTGAGCCGCCTTGGGATTCCCTTGGGGGGCTTCTTGGGCGGGTTTGGGGCGCTCGTGGGGCCGTCGTGGACTCTGCAAGGGCCCAACAGTCGTATATGCTAAAAATGGAGGGCGGGCGGAAAATAACAGAAAGCCTTCGATGTTTGCACCGGGTGGCCCTGCTAGGAGTGCTCTTGCAGCGTTCTGGGGGCCTTTTGGATCGCGTTTTGGCCTGCTGGAGGCCGTCCTGAGCTGTCTTGGGGCCCTCTGAGGCCGGCTGGCCGCCATCCTGGGCCATCTTGAGGCTATCCTCGGCAGTATTGGAGGCACCTTCGGCGAACCTGGCGGCCTCTTGGACTCGCTTGGGCCGTCTGGGAGGCGCAGGCCCTCCGCGCGGGCCCCCCCCCCAAGCTTTGCCGCGATTGGCACCTTTCACGCGCTGCTCCCGCTCCCGGTATTCTAGGACAGATGACGTCTGGCTCCAGCATCATGCCAGCCAGCTCTCTGAAAAGCGACAGCGCATGTCGCCACTGTTTGCTCTTTCCGCATATGCCGACGGTCACACAATATAGACTGAGGCTGAGATCCGCATGTGGTTGGGACGCCTCGCGCAACAGGCGCAGCGCTGCAATCCATTGCTTTGCGGCCCCACACTTGTCGATCGCACTTTTGACGGAGGAGGCACCCTGCCGAGACCCCTTCAAGCTTTTCTGCATCAGCGGATCTCCACATCATGTGTTGGTGCAGGTCGCCCAAGAATTTCAGCTGTTGGGCCTCGAGAAATGGAAGAGGGGAAGGGAGGGTATGGGCAGACGGGTGTCAAGTTGCACCCGACCACATTCCAGCTGGAGCAGTGTGATCGGGGAGGGCCCCAGCCCGAAGGGGAGAAGGAGTGATAGGAGGGTTTAGGGAGTCGCATGGGGTTCCAGGGGTCCTCTCCCGGGGAGGATAAGGAGGGGGAAAGAGGGTCGGGGAGAAGGATGGGGGTGGGGGAGGCTTAGGGGAACTACGCTAACGAGGACGAAAAAGATGAGGAAACTCTCCCGATCGGACCCGCCAGGTATCTCGGAGGGCTACCTGAACCACCGAATCGGACTGGCCGACCCTCATCACCACCATTACCACCACAAAGGATCTCAGAAGCCGGCGGGAACTTGCGCGCCGAACCCTTTCTGGAGGACGCGCAGCACCGCGCCTGCGAGGCTGGCCCAGCTTCCCAGGCGACGATCGCCCGCATGTCCAGCGCAGAACGTGTCGCAGACGAGGAAGGTTGGCACCCAGCGGGTCCAGGGCACCCTGGAGATCTCGTCCGAGCCGATGTGCAAGACGCCTGTGACACACGCCCTCCCACCCCCGCTCCTCGGCTTAACCCGCGTCCTCGTCCTCACTCGGCGTCGTCCCGCGGGCAGGGCGGGCCTTCGTGGCCGAGCGCGGGGCGCATGCTGACGGGGGGGGGGCTTCGGGCAGAGCGCGAGGCCGCCGAGGACGGTCCGGGGCTCCACAGCGGAGGAGACCTGGACGCCCAGGGCCGGGGCGCCCCCCGGGCGCAGCGCTGCCGCCCAGGGCCAGGCCGTCTGCAGCCAGTGGGCCCTTGCGGCACGCGCGCTGCCTAGCATCGCATGCAGCGGAGGTGGCCGTGGTCTCCATCGTCTATTTGTCCACGACCATCGGCAGGGCCTGGCGTGGCTACCTGCTTCTGTCGCACACGCGGGTCTCAGGATTGTGGCTGGACCTGCGCGACGCTGACCTTTGCATCGCAATCACGATGGCATCGCTGAGGCTGGCGACGTGGGACTCGAGCTTCGCATTCCGCGTCGCGGTGAGCAGCCAGATCGCTTGCTGCACCTGCCCGCTTCTGTCGCAAGCCCTGGTCACAGTTTGGCAGCTGATGACGTCGGGCACCAGCTTCGCCTCTGGTATCTCGTTCAGCAGCACCAGAGCCCGCTGCCACTGCATGCCTTTCTCGCACGCGCTGATCCCAACGTTGTAGCTGACTAGGGCTGACCCGTATACTCCGTCCACGTCTACCAGCTTGTCCAGCATGTGTTTGTTGCTGCTTGTTTCGTTGGGCTGCTTGCTGCTAGCGCTGCTTGCGAGCAATTTGCTTGTTTGTATTGGCTTGCTGCTTGCTTGCTGCTTGCTTGCTTGATTGCTGGCTTACTTGCTGCTTGCTTGCTTGCTTGCTTGCTTGCTTGCTCTTGCTTGCGTGCTTGCTTGCTTGCTTGCCTGCTGCTGCTGCTGCTACTGATTGCTGCTACTGATTGCTGCTGCGGCAACGCCCCCCAAGAAACAAGCATCCAGGGACCTCGGAGCCTCGAACCCGATTCTCCTCTTAGGGCCTGCGACAAGCCTCTAGCCTCTGGTCCGCCTCCCTCTCTTGGCGGCAATTTGACGCCTCTTGGGGCCTCTATGGGGGGCCGTGTCAGGGCCTCTTCGCCTCTCGCAAACCTTTTTGGAAACCTCCTGGGGCCCTTTTGGGCTGTCTTGGGCGCCTCTTGGGCCGTCTTTTGGGGCTGTCTTGGGCAATCTTTGGGCTGTCTGGCGCCTCTGGGGCGCCGTCCCGGCGCCCTCATTGGCCGTCGTAGGGCGATCTTGGGGGCCCCTACGGCCTGAAACTTGCTCCTCCTTAGGCTTCCTCGCGGTCCTCTTAAGGCTCCCTGGGGGCGTCTTCGGGCTCTTTGGATTGTCTTGTAGCATCTTGGGCCGTCTTGGGACCGTCCGCGGCCGTCTTGGGCTCTGTGGGGCCGTCCCGGGAGCGTGGCCTGGGGCCCAGGCTGTGCTGGGGACGGTTGTCGGTCTCCAGGGGCCTCTCGGAGCCGGACAGAACATGTTGATGCACAGGACCTTCTTTGTGCGCACGGGCTCCTGCATTGTAACCAGATCACGCCGGGCTCCAGCTGCACGGAGGGCGCGGAACTTCGAACTCCCCCTCTTGGGCCGTCTTGGGGGACTCTTAGGCCATCCTGGAGCCCGGCTGGGCCGTCTTGTGGCCTTCTGGAAGGCCCGTTGGGCCGTCTTGGGGCGATCTTCGGGACCTCTTGGGCCGTCTTGGAGCGTTGAAGCCCGAATCGGCGAGAACGCTGAAATCTTATCATAACCAAAGGATCATCCATGATGTTGGCCTCTCGGGGCCCTCTTACGGGACTCTGGGGGCACTTTTGGGCCGTCTTAGGGCCCTGTCGGGCCGTCGGATAGCCATATTGGCGTCATCTTGGACCGTGTGGTAGGGTCTCGGGCCATCTTAGACCGTCTTGGGGCCATCCTGTGCCATCTTGGAGCGCCCTGGGGGTGGCCTGGGAGCGCCAGGGGAGGGGGGCGATTTTGAGATTTTGATTCGATTGCCCTCTGGCACGGGGCGCTGGCGCTGTAGAACATACTAGGGCTGACCCGTGGACTGCGTCTACAAAAGCTGCACGACTTGACATGTGATGGTTGACATGCCGCCAAAAGGCTGAAATGATGACGGGGTGCTCGAACTTCGCATTCCCCGCATGATACTGCGTGCTTCTGCTTGCTGCCGCTGCTGCGTGCTGTTGGTAATGCTTGCCGCTGCTGCGTGCTGTGGCTGCAATTCGGGATGCCGCTTTCGAGCCCCTCTAGAGCCGTCGCGGAGGCTCTTGGACAAGTTTGGAGGTCTCTGGAGCAGAGTTGGAGGCTCTGGGAGTGTTGGGGTCGCCTGGGGGGCATGGAGGGAGCCCAGACGGGGGAAGCGTTCCGAACTTGGGTTCGGGATCCCTGTCTTGGCCCCTTTTGAAGCTGTCTCGGGGACCTCCTGGGCCGTTTGAGAAGCTTCTGGAGCCGTCTTCAGGTGTTGGGCCGTCTTACGGGCTCTCTTGGAGGCCGCCTCGGCCGCCTTGGGCAGATTTCGAAGCCTCTGTGTCGTTTAAGAAGACGATGTGGTGCCGGAGACCCGAATATACGAAACCAGCATCAATAACTCACAGATCATCTACAGTTATTCATTCTCGCGACTCTCTAAGGGTCCTCTTGGAGAGTTCTCGGGGCGTGCTTTGGGACCTCTGGGGTCGCCTTGGGGCCCTCTTGGGCTATCTAAGGGCTCTCTGGAGGCCATCGTGGGCTCTCTCGGTGCTCTCTTGGGGCTCTCTTGGGGCCCTCTTGGGCCAGGACGGCGTCGCCCCCTCGAGCGGAGCCACGGAGGCACCGCTGCCCAAGTGAAGAGCATGCACCCTCCTGGCATGCAGACCCGGTATTGTGATTTCGACCAGGGCTGACCCGTGAACTACTCATCACAGCATCTGCCCGAGATGAAGGCAGTGCTGGGAACTCTGCGGCCGGATGGGTGGCGTCCTGGGGCCCTGGGGGGGGTCGTCCTGGGCGGTGTCGGAGCTCTGCGGGACCCGTTGGGCCGCCTCTTCCTGGGGCGGGTCGGGGTGTCAGGGAGCTCTCCGAGGCCGTCTTGAGCATCATGCGGTCAGTCTAGGACGGTCCAGGGGGCCCGCAGCCGGCCCGAAAACGGACCAAGACAGCCCCAGGCGGCCCCGGAGACGGCCCAAGGGCCCAAGTGGCCCCAAGGGTGCCCTAAGGCGGCAAACGTTGCGTTTCCTTCGGGTTTTGCCGGTTCGGCTCCCCGTGGCCGACTGGACGGCTCCTGGAAGGCTTCTGGGGGCCTCTTGGGGGCTTTTTGGAGCCGCTTGGGGTTTGCCTCGAGCAAAGTATTTACGGTTAGGATGCTCATCATCCGTGCATGTGCGCATTTGCTCGATTTGATTGCCCGGGGGACTGCCTGGTACTGGTGACCTCCTGAATCCACCTCTGTCTACAGAGAAGGCTTCGAGAGCTTCTCAGAAGGCCAGAGGCCTTCTGAGAAGGCCCGCCCCCTCTGGCTCCGCCAGCCTGGGACCCCCGTCCGACGACCTCTGTGGGGCCGTGGGGAAGGCGAGGACACTCGGACCCGTTGGGAGGCCCTCTCGGGAACTCGGCGAGCCCGCTGGGGACCGTCCTGGGGCTCACGGGGGCCCGCGGAGGAGCTGGCTCGAAGCTTCCAGGATGGCGTCAGACGCTCCCTGGCAGCCGAGCGAAGCCTGGATAGGAGGCAGCCGCAAAACAGGAGGGTGGATGGGGTCAGGAGGGGGGGAGTGAGAAGCTAGGCGCGCTCGCGCCATGTCTGACATCCTACCCCCCCGCCCATCTTTTCCCATAGCGCTGATTTGTCTATCCGCCGACGAGTGTCATAGCGGACCTGGAACCTCCCAGATGACCCCATCGCGTTATGCGCAAGTAGAACGGGGAGGGACGCGGAGGGAACGTGGGGAGGAAGGAGGAGGCGAGGGAACAGGAGGGTGAGACGAAGAAAAGGTGGACAAGGAAGGATGTTGAGCAACTACAAAGCTTTCTCTGGGCGCCTGGGGTCGGCGCACAGCCAGACCACACATAGCCGCAAAACAGGAGGGTGGATGCATCTCCGTTTTTCCTAAGTAAAATGGTCCATACCCCGGGAAACTGGTCCATTCCCCGGCGCCACCGGAGAATGGACCAATTGTCTGGTGTTTTTTTTATTCGCACGGGGTCGGCCGGCAAAATGCCCAGAACAGACTGGTGGACTTATGTGTAATCATTGGGTTTCCGAAAAAACGCCGGTGAATGGACCAGTCGGCGCGTGCGCGCGCCTGTGTGCTGTGTGTGTGCGTGTGTGCTGTGCTTGCTGTGGGTGCTGTGGGTGCTGTGTGTGTTTGTGTGTGTGGTGCGCGCGCGCTGTGTGTTTGCTGTATGTGCGGTGTGTGCGTGTGCGCGGTATGTACGGTGTGTGTGTGTGTGACTTGTGTGGTGTCCGGGGTGTGTGCGGTGTCCGCTGTGTGCGCGGTGTGTGCAATGTGTGCGACGCGTGCGGTGCGCGCGGTGGTGCCGTGCTGTATGGTGCACTTTACGATGTTTGATATATCATAACCTTTGACGTACCTGGGAGGGCCTCCTAGGGAATCCTAGAAACTCCAAATTATCCCGGCAAAGCAACCTAACAGCGATGTGTAGGAGCATATCTGGAAGCATTCCCCTTAAGATTCAGATGAGAATCCAGTTGTAGAATTCTGCTGTTCTCGCAGTCGTAGTCGCATTCGCGATGACAGTCGCAGTGGCAACGGCAGTCGCAGTCACAGCCTCAGCCTCAGCCTGCCTCAGCCTCAGCCTCAGCCTGCCTCAGCCTCAGCCTGCCTCAGCCTCAGCCTCAGCCTGCTTCAGCCTCAGCCTCAGTCTGCCTTCAGCCTCGGCCTCAGCCTCAGCCTGCCTCAGCCTCAGCCTGCATCAGCCTCAGCCTCAGCCTCAGCCTGCCTCAGCCTCAGCCTGCCTCAGCCTCAGCCTCAGCCTCAGCCTGCTTCAGCCTCAGCCTCAGTCTGCCTTCAGCCTCGGCCTCAGCCTCAGCCTGCCTCAGCCTCAGCCTGCATCAGCCTCAGCCTCAGCCTCAGCCTGCCTCAGCATCAGCCTCAGCCTCAGCCTCAGCCTCAGCCTGCCTCTGCCTCAGCCTCAGCCTGCTTCAGCCTCAGCCTCAGTCTGCCTTCAGCCTCGGCCTCAGCCTCAGCCTGCCTCAGCCTCAGCCTGCCTCAGCCTCAGCCTCAGCCTCAGCCTCATCAGCCTCAGCAGCCTCAGCCTCAGCCTCAGCCTGCCTCAGCCTCAGCCTCAGCCTCAGCCTCAGCCTCAGCCTCAGCCTCAGCCTCAGCCTCAGCCTCAGCCTCAGCCTCAGCCTCAGCCTCAGCCTGCTGCCTCAGCCTCAGCCTCAGCCTTCAGCCTCAGCCTCAGCCTCAGCCTCAGCCTCAGCCTCAGCCTCAGCCTCAGCCTCAGCCTCAGCCTCAGCCTCAGCCTCAGCCTCAGCCTCAGCCTCAGCCTCAGCCTCAGCCTCAGCCTCAGCCTCAGCCTCAGCCTCAGCCTCAGCCTCAGCCTCAGCCTCAGCTGTCAGCCTCAGCCTCAGCCTCGGCCTCAGCCTCAGCCTGCCTCAGCCTCAGCCTGCATCAGCCTCAGCCTCAGCCTCAGCCTGCCTCAGCCTCAGCCCTCAGCCTCAGCCTCAGCCTCAGCCTCAGCCTCAGCCTCAGCCTCAGCCTCAGCCTGCTTCAGCCTCAGCCTCAGTCTGCCTTCAGCCTCGGCCTCAGCCTCAGCCTGCCTCAGCCTCAGCCTGCATCAGCCTCAGCCTCAGCCTCAGCCTGCCTCAGCATCAGCCTGCCTCAGCCTCAGCCTCAGCCTGCCTCAGCCTCAGCCTCAGCCTGCTTCAGCCTCAGCCTCATCTGCCTTCAGCCTCGGCCTCAGCGCCAGCCTGCCTCAGCCTCAGCCTGCATCAGCCTCAGCCTCAGCCTCAGCCTCAGCATCAGCCTGCCTCGGCCTCAGCCTCAGCCTGCCTCAGCCTCAGCATCAGCCTGCCTCAGCCTCAGCCTCAGTCTGCCTTCAGCCTCGGCCTCAGCCTCAGCCTGCCTCAGCCTCAGCCTGCATTAGCCTCAGCCTCAGCCTCAGCCTCAGCCTGCCTCAGCATCAGCCTGCCTCAGCCTCAGCCTCAGCCTGCATCAGCCTCAGCCTCAGCCTGCTTCAGCCTCAGCCTCAGTCTGCCTTCAGCCTCGGCCTCAGTCTCAGCCAGTTTCAGCCTGCCTCAGCCTCAGCGTCAGCCTGCCTCACCATTCAAAATGTGGCCTGGGAATGGAGTTCTGGGAACTCGAAGAACACGAAGTGGCCTACAGTGGGCTCCGGGCATTCAAAACCATGCCCAGGAATGGAGTTCTGAGAACTCGAAGACCACGAAGTGGCCTACAGTTGGCTCTGGGCATTCAAAAGCACGCCCAGGAATGGAGTTCTGGGAACTCGAAGACCACGAAGTGGCCTACAGTAGGCTCCGGGCATTCAAAAGCATGCCCAGGAATGGAGTTCTGGGAACTCGAAGACCACGAAGTGGCCTACAGTTGGCTCCGGGCATTCAAAATCATGCCCAGGAATGGAGTTCTGGAAACTCGAAGACCACGAAATGCGCTACTGTTTGCTAAAAAAGGAATCCCCGGCACCTGTCCCCGGATCCCGCCCAGACCCCCCTGGGGAGTCATGATGCTCTCTGTTGACTTTACTAAAAACCTATCAGTCTTCGCTGTTAGGTAATGATCCTACCAGTCGCCAGAATCCCGAGAGGGCCCCTTAGGGAATCCCGTGCGGCGCGCGCGCGGTGGTTCCGTGCTGTATGGTGCACCTTATGCTGTTTTATATCGCACTACTTTTGACGTACCTGGGGGGGCCTCCTCGGGAATCCTCGGAATCCCGAGGGATCCCACCGATCGCCAGATTCCTTAAAAGGGCCTCTTGGGGAAACCTACGAGACCCTAGGGGTCCTACCAATTCCCACATTCCTGAGAGGGCCTCCTAGGGAATCCTAGGAATTCCTCGGGATCCTCCCACTTGCAAGATTCCTGAGATGGCCTCTTATGGAATCCTAAGAATTCCTAAGGGCCCGACCGATCCCCAGATTCCTGGGGGGGCCTTCTCGGGAGTCCTAGGAACTCCTGGGGGTCCGACCGGTTGCCTGATTCCTAAGAGGGCCTCTAAAAGAATCACTCAAAATCCTAAGGATCCGACCGCTTTCCCAGATTCCTGGGGGGGCCTCCTAGGGAATCCTAGGAATTCATCGGAATCCTACCAATTGCAAGATTCCTGAGATGGCCTCCTAGGGAATTCCAAAAATTCCTCAGGATCCGACCAATTCCCATATTCCTGGGAGGGCCTCCTGGGGAATCCTGGGGATTCCTCAGGATCCTACCAATTACCAGATGCCAGAGAAGGCCTCTTAAGGAATCCTGGGGTTTCCTCGGGACCCCACCAATTGCCAGATTCCAGGGGGGGCCTCCTTGGGAATCCTAGGAATTCCTCGGGATCCTACCAATTGCCAGATTCATGAAAGGGCCTCTGAAGGACTCGTCGGAATTCTAAGGAATCCCACCCATTCCCTGATTCCTGGGAGGGCCTCCTACGGAATCCTAATGATTCTCAGGGGTCCTACCAGTTACCGAATTCCAGAGCGGGCCTCTTAAGAAATCTTGAGTGTTCTCCAGACCCCGACCAACTCCCAAATCCCTGGGAGGGCCTCCTAGGAATCCTGAGGATCGCGATGTAGCCTTTGCCATCTGAGGATGGGCGACTGTTCCCCCCAGACGGACGCAAATCCGTGGTGGACTACCTCGAACAGACAGTTGCCGTCACCAGGGACGGCCGCCTTCACTGCGGCGTCGCCTTCGGCAACGAATTGCCCCGGGTCCCTCCTTTGAGCGGGGCGCAAGGATGTCGCCGCCTCGCGAGCGTCTGCGTGGCCCCAGAAGGCCAGCAGCACCAAAAAGCGATGCCTGAGAAGCCTCTCGGGAGATCCAAAAGGCTTCTCGGGCCCAAGACGCCCCTCGGGAGACCCAAGACGCCTCTCGGGAAGCCCAAGGCGCCTCTCGGGAGGCCCAAGACGCCTCTCGGGAGGCCCAAGACGCCTCTCGGGAGGCCCAAGACGCCTCTCGGGAGGCCCGAGATGCCTCTCGAGGGGCCCAAAACGCCTCTCAGGAGGCCCAAGAAACCTCTCGAGAGGCCCGATCGGGAGGCCCAAGACGCCTCTCGGGAGGCCCAAGACGCCCCTCAGGAGGCCCAAGGCCCTTCGGGAGGCCCAAGACGCCTCTTAGGAGGCCCAAGACGCCTCTTAGGAGGCCCAAGACGCCTCTCGGGAAGCCCAAGGCGCCTCTCAGGAGGCCCAAGACGCCTCTCGGAAAACCGAAAATGCCTCTCGGGAGGCCCAAGACGCCTCTTGGGAGGGCCAAAACGCCTCCTCGGAAGGCCCAAGACGCCTCTCGGGAGACTCAAGACGCCTCTTGGGAGGCCCAAGGCCCCTTCGGGAGGCCCATGACGCCTCTCGGGGAGGCCCAAGACGCATCTCAGGAGGCCCAAAACGCCTCTCGCGAGGCCCTAGACGCCTCTCGGGAGGCCCAAGACGCATTTCGGGAAGCCCAAGGCGCCTTTCAGGAGGCCCAAGAAACCTCTCGGGAAGCCTAATACGCCTCTCGGGAGGCCCAAGACGCCTCTCGGGAGGCCCAAGACGCATCTCGGGAGGCCCAAGACGCCTCTCGGGAGGCCCGAGATGCCTCTCGAGGGGCCCAAAACGCCTCTCAGGAGGCCCAAGAAACCTCTCGAGAGGCCCGATCGGGAGGCCCAAGACGCCTCTCGGGAGGCCCAAGACGCCCCCCGGAAGGCCCAATACGCCCCTTCGGGAAGCCCAAGGCGCCTCTGAGGAGGCCTTGCAGGACTTCTCCAGAGGTCTCTGGAGAACTACTCTGGAACTCGCACTGGGGAATGGACCTGTTTACCGGGCACCGGGAAAAGGAACTCTTTCGAGGGTGGATGGGGGCAGGATGGAGGGGGGGATTGACAAGCTAGGCGCGCTCGCGCCATGTCTAATACAGCGTTCTCTGGGCGCCTGGGGTCGGCGCACAGCCAGCCTACACAGTCGTCCTCCCACTCACCTCCTCTCCACCAGCTCTCTGGGCGGAGGTGGTCTAGGGCGGTTTCTCTTCCAACTCCCTTCTTCCCCTTCGGGGAGGGGTGTACCATTGTTCCCTATTAATAGATACACCCCCTCCCCCACCTGGCCGGCAGCCAACCCGGAAACATGCCGACACCATGATCACACCCCTCCACCATCCCTATCAAACAAACACAAAACGAACACACACTCTGCCTCCACATTTGGAGCGTACTCGGCCGCCCCGCGACCAATTCACATTGGCATTTTACAAGGACGGCCAGGGTGCCAGCAGATCCCGCCTGCCTTCTGGGCGCAGGTGGTCGACCGACTGCTTTGACAGATCAATGGCTGCTGCCTTCTCGCCTTCTCGTTTCCGATGGGCTTCCGAAGCCCCCAAATGGCCTCAAACTTGGCCAAGAGAGCTCCAAGCCAGGCCCAAGAGGCTTCCAAACCCGCCTCCAGAACGCCCCAAGTTGGCGCCAAGAGGGCCCCACGAGGCGGTCTTGGGGGCCCCAGGGTCGGAGGCCTGCAGGTGGCCCCCAAATGTCCCTGCATCGGCACGGAATCGAAATCGAGGCAGAACGGCCGCGCCAGGCACAGAAGCGTCAGAACATCGGGATCGAATCGGGCCAGCCGAAGTCGATATCGAATCGGATCGATCGGATCGGCTTGGGCCTTGTCGGAGGCTGCTGGGGCCTTCAGCTGCGAACGCCCGCGCCCGCGTCGAGGGGGCGAGAACCTGGATACCGTAAGATGATGTCTGGCTCCACGCTCGCCTCCTGCATCTTGCCGAACTGCGACAACGCCTGCTGCCACGATCCAGCTGCCTCGCACGCGGCGATCCCAGAGTTGTAACTGACCAGGGTTACTGGACATTCGCCGCACTCCTCACCCTCCTGCCCACTCTTCATCTTGCTTCTCCCTTTTCCTTCCTTCCACTCCGCTTGGCGCCACCCCCAGGTTGGGGCGCGCCCCCGGCCGGGCCGCGCGGCACGGGCCCTCAGAGGCCGGCGAGCTGTGCCCGCTTGCTGCCCTTCCCCGCGGCCGGGGGCTTTTCGGCTGGAGCCCGACGCCGAAGCGGGGGACTCCGCACCTGGAGCCCCCGGGGAAGGGGTCGCCCGGTGGCCCCCCCAGGTGGGCGCTGGTGGAGCGCCACGCGGGCGTGAGACCCCCGGCAGCCCCGCTTTGGGCGCTGGGTCGCTGCCGGTGGGTACTCGGCCCGGAGAGGAAGGGCATGGGCCAGCGGGGACCGGGGCCAGGGTCAGGGGGCCCAGACGCCGGGCCAGGCGCCAGGGGCTCCCTCCTCCTCCTCCTCCTCCTCCTCCTCCTCCTCCTCCTCCTCCTCCTCCTCGTCCTCCTCCTCATCTGATGGGCAACGATAAGGGGGGACCAGCTCAGGAGGGCGAACACCGACTTGGAGTGGGCGAGACATCGCCGACAGATTGGCGATAGGCCCCAGATGGCAAATCCGCATGCTCCTGGGCGGGGCGGGGTCGACGTGTCTCCGCGTTGCCACTGATCCTCCCCCTCCCCCTCCTCCTCCATCTCCCCCTCCCGCCCTCCCCCACCCCTTCTCTTCCTCCTTCTCCTTCTCCTCCTCCTCCTCCTCCTCCTCCTCCCTGTCATTTCCTTATGAATAACTCCTCCCTGTCGCACCCTGGGACGTGTGGGTAGGGCGGGTCGGGTGTTTCGCCTTAACATTCCTCTCCACCTATGATTCGGAAGCTCCGACTTTGCAAGAGCTCCACTGATGGAAGGCGGGCCGCTTTCAAAATAGAGCTCTCGCCGTATCGCAGCGCACATTCGTTTCAAGAGTCTGCACGGATTTCACGGATGGAGGGCGGGTCCTCTTTCAGGCTATGGCTCTCGCATTAGCGCCGCGCACATTCGTATTACAAGTTTGCATGATCTTCAAGGATGGGGGGCGGCTCCTTTTCAAAATGATGCTCTCGCCTCACCGCCGCGCACACCCGTCTTAACAGTTTGAAGAGTTTTACGGATAAAGGGCGGGTGGTTTCCAACATGTGGTTCTCGCTTTCTCGCCGCCCAATTTCGTCCAATTTTGTTGCAAGCGTTTCGCATATTGAGGGCGGGCCTCTTTCAACATGTGGCTCTCACCCTACCGCCGCGCACATTCGTTTCAAGAAGTGTCATGGATGGGGCGCGGGTCGTTCTCAAAATGAAGCACGACACGAACCGAAAGCGTCATTGAATTCTGGGAGGGGGGGCACTCCGCTTCACCTCGGCCTCGCCCCGCAGTCTCCATGCGAACAAAAACATCGAGCTCCACCTTCGCCTCTCGCATCTCGTTGAAAAGCGACAGAGCCCGCTGCCACTGCCCGCCATTCCCGCACGCGCTGATGCCACAATTGTAGCTGACTATGGCTGACCGTGGACTGCGTGCGAGAACGTACGTCGGCCCCGCCCCCTTGGCGTGCTGCGCTGCTGCTTGCTGCTGCCCGCTGCTCCTGGTTGCTGCTGCTGGCTCTTCTGGCCTGCTGAGCTTCGTTGGTGTCCTCTTGCGGACGCCTGGGCTGGCCTGGGCGGCATCTTGGGACTCTCTTGGGCCATACGGGGGGCATCTTGGTTTCCCGAGCCATCTGTTGGGGTGCGGCCCCGGGGTGTCTCGAACCCTCCGGTCGCCCTCTGAGGCTGACTGGGCGCAGTTTGAGCCGCCTTGACGCGGAGCGCCCCAGGGGTGGGGCGTTGAGATGAGGCCAGCGGGGGTGACTACGGCGGGAGCGTTTGAAAAAAAAACAACTGGAGAAGGAACCCGAGGTCTGAGATCCTGGTGAAGCACCGCTTGAGGCTTGGCCATGGGCATCACCGCCGCCCTCATCAGATGAGGAATCCTCCAGGGTTCTGGAGCCTCCTGGGCACATCCCTCAACCAATGCCCCCACCGTACCTGCATCCATCACCAGTCTAGGCGCTCTCCGGGGCCGCCCTGAAGCCCTTCGGGGACCCCCTGCATGGGCCGTACATGCGTTGGGGCCTGCTGCCGCCGAGCTTCCGCGGCGAGTAAGAGGGCCGCCGCGAGGGCGCGGAGGGCTCCGTCGAAGACGGTGCGAGCCCGACCTGCGGGCTGAAGACACTGCGAGAGTACGGTCAGGAACTTCTGCTTAGCGTGTCGCAGCGGCGGCCCTGGCGACTGGGAAAGGCTCGGGACGTTGACGCTCCAAGGCCGGGAAGTGGCCAGCGCGTCGCGCCGAGGCGTGGTGGGCCAAACCCAGCGGCGCGACACGCGAAGCAAACGTTCCTGACTGCACCTCTCTTGGTTGGCAGAGGTTGCGCGTCAGGGGCATCCTGTGGGCGTCTGGGAGACGCCTGCCCGGCGCGCTAGGGCGGCGGGGGGCGCCCCCCTGCAGTGCTTTGGCCCCGCCCGTTCTCCACCCAGAAGGGCGTCCTGTGTGGGCTCCGGGCCGCGGCGTCTTCTGCCTGGTGAGCGGGCTGGCCAGGTGCACTGGTGCTTCTGTGGACGCGGGCCGGGCGCGCCAGGGGCCAGAGGCAAGGCCTCGGCACAGAGTCATCGAGTAGACGACGTTCAGCTCCAACTTCAGCCACTGCATCTGCCCCATCACCGCCAACGCCTGCTGCCACTGCCCGCCTGTCAAGATAATTTGCGATACATACGATGGCCGCGCCCATTTTGTAGCGCTGCCATCTTGCGGCAATCACACACACACACACACCCTTGTTGGCGGGCATGCTGTGTGACCCCTTTCGCGAGCCCTCGGGGGGAGCCCTCGGGAACCCAACGGGCCTTCTGTGAATCCGTAGCCGTGTTGGCAACGTGACTCAACAGGCCTATGTGACCTGGTGTTGGCCATGACCGCCGCTCCAGTACAGACCCCTTTTGACGCGAACAGAATGGACGGCGGCAAATTCCGATGCCTATATTTTGGAAAATCCGGATCATCTGACCGCCTCCCCACGAACACAACAAATATCCTGGCGAAGGACCCAACCACATGCAAGTATGAATGCCGCAAGGGAGGTGTGACGAAGGAGAGGGATCTCCGAGGCAAGGTTTTCCCAAACCAAACGGGTCTTCCCGAACCAGATGTTGCGGGACAAGACGACAGGGAGTTCCCAAACCAAACCCCAAGTCTTCCCAAACCAACCGGGTCTTCCCAAACCAACCGCCGGGGTCTTCCCAAACCAACCGGGTATTCCCAAACCAACCGCCCAGGTCTTCCGAAACAAACAAGTATTCCCAAACCAACCGCTCAAGTCTTCCCAAACCAACCGGGTCTTCCCAAACCAGCCGCCCGGGTATTCCCAAACCAACCAGGTCTTCCCAAACCACTTCCCTGGGTCTTCCCAAACCACTTCCCTGGGTCCTCCCAACCAATCAGGTCTTCGTCTCGCTCTCGTTCCTGCCATCGTTTTCGCCTTCGTGCTTGTCTTCGTTCCCGCCCTCCTTCCGCCTTCGTTCTCGCTTTCGAACTCACCTTCGTTCCCGTCTTCGTTCTCGCCTTCGTTTCCGCATTTGTTCTCGTTCTCGTTTTCGCCATTGTTTCCGCCTTCGTCCTCGCCTTGTTTCCCGCCTTTGTTTCCGCTTTGTTCTCGTTCTGTGTTAGCCCTCGTTCTCGCCTTCGGACTCACCTTCGTTCTCGCCGTCGTTCTCGCCTTCGTTCCCGCCTTCGTCCTCGCCGTCGTTCTCGCCTTCGTTCTCGCTTTCGTTCCGGCCTTCGTTCTCGCCTCCGTTCTCGCCTTCGTTCTCGCTTTCGTTCTCGCCTTCGTTCTCGCATACGCCTTCCTTCTCGCTTTCGTTCTCGCATGTATTCTCGCATTCGTTCTCGCCTTCGTTCCCGCCTTCGTTCTCGTCTTTGTTCTCGCTTTCGTTCTCGCCTCTGTGTGTGCATTCGTTCCCGCTTTCGTTTCTGGCCTTATTCTCGTTCTCCTTTCTACTGTCGTTCCCGTTCTCGTTTTCGCCCTCGCTCCCGCCCTCGCATCCGCCCTCGTGCTCGCCTTCGTTCCCGACTATGTTCCCGCTCTCACTTCCCCTTCCGTTTCCGCCCTCATGCCTGCCTTCGTTCTCGCTCTCTTTCCCGTCTCGTTCCCGCTCTGATGGGGGGGGGGCCCTGCCAACCGCCTGCTCCGCCCAGGGGTTCAGGAGCGTCGACGCGGCAGTGACCGCAGCGCAGACGCTCAAGGTTCACGACTGCCAAGAGTGTTCTCGCCACCGATCTCGTCATTGTTTCGTCCTCGTTCCCGCCTTCGTTTCCGCCTTCGTTCTCGCCTTCGTTCTCCGCCTTCGTTCCCGCCTTCGTTCTGGCCTTCGTTCTGGCCTTCGTCATAGCCTTCGGACTCACCTTCGAACTCGCCTTCATTTTCGCCTTCGTTCTCGCCTTCGTTCTCGCCTTCGTTCCCGCCTTTGTTTTCGCCCTCGTTCTCGCATTTGCTCTCGCCTTCGGTTCCGCCTTCGTCTTCGCCTTCGTTCTCGCCTTCATTTCCGCCCCCTTTCTCGCTTTCGTTCTCGCCCCTTCGTTCTCGCCGTCGACCCCGCCTGCGTCTTCGCCTTCGTTCTCGCCTTCGTTCCCGCCTTCGCTCTCGCCTTCGTTGCCGCCCTCGTTCTCGCCGTCGAACCCACCTCCGTTCCCGCCTTCGTTCCCGCCTTCGTTCCCCGCCTTCGTTCTCGCCTTCGTTCCCGCCTTCGTGCCGTTCTCGCCTTCGTTCTCGCCATCGTTCTCGCCTTCGTTCCCGCCTTTGTTTTCGCCCTCGTTCTCGCATTCGCTCTCGCCTTCGCTCGCGCCTTCGTTTTCGCCTTCGTTCTCGCTTTTGTTCCTGCCTTCGTTCTCGCCTTCGTTCTCGCTTTCGTTTTTGCCTTTGTTCTCGCTTTCGTTCCCCCTTTGTTCCCGCCTTCGTTTTCGCCTTCGTTCTCGTTCTGTGCTCGCCCTCGTTCCCACAATCGTTCTCGCGTTCGTTCTCGCCTGCGTTTCTCGCCTTCATTCTCGCCTTCGTTGCCGCCTTCGTTCTCGCAGTCGAACTCGCCTCCGTTCCCGCCTTCGTTCTCGCTTTCGTTCCCGCCTTCGTTCTCCGCCCCCTTTCTCGCCTTCGTTCTCGCTTTCGTTCCCACCTTCATTTCCGCCCCCATTCCCGCCGTCGTTCTCATCTTCGTTTTTCGCCTTCGTTATCGCCTTCGTTCTCGCCCACGTTCCGCCATTGTTCCCGCCTTCCCTGTCGCCTCCGTTCTCGCTCTCGTTCCCGCCTTCCTTGCCGCCGTCGTTCTCGCCTTCGTTCCTGCCTTCGTTCTCGCCTTCGTTCGCGCCTTCGTGCCCACTTTCGTTCTCGTTTTCGTTCTCGCCATCGGTCTCGCCGTCGTTCCCGCCTTCGTTGTCGCCTTCGTCCTCGCTTTCGTTCTAGCCGTCGTTGCCGCTCTCGTTCTTGTCAGCCGGGCGTTGCCAAACCACGCGCCCGGGCTCTCCGAAACCAACCGGGTCTTCCCAAAATTTAACCAACCGGGTCTTGCCAATCATGGCCCCTGGGTCTTCCCAAACCCAGCCTCCGAGACTTGCCAAACCACCTGGGTCTTCCCAAAACAAGCCCTGGATCTTGCGAAACCAACTGGGCCTTCCCAACACCACCCCCGGGTCTTCCAAACCAGCCAGGTCTTCCCAAACCAACCGGGTCTGCCCAAACCGCGCCGGGGTCTTCCCAAGCCAACCGGGCCTTCCCAAACCAAACTCCCGGTCACCCTTACCGGAGCTTTGGTTCGGGAAGACCCGTTTGGTTTGGGAAAGACGCCCCTCAGAGGGGGATCTCCCTATGGGCCCACGAAACGTGTGAGAGGTGTGCCGAAATTGGTTGCGAGCCGCATGTGGACGCACCCGCTGGGATCTTAGGTGGAGCTCCCTATGTGACCACAAAGCGTGTGAGGGGAGCGCCGAAATATCATGAAACCGCTGTGGACGCACCCAGTGGGGCCTCAGGTGAAGCTCGGTATGGCGCTACGAAGCGTGTGAAGATTGTGCCGACACGGGCTGGGAACATACGCTGGGGCCCTAGGTGGAGCTCTGTATGGCGCCACAAAGCGTGTGAAGGCTGTGTCGAAATAGGTAGGGAGCCGGATGTGGACGCACCCACAAGGGCCTTCTCCATATTATTCGGTCACGCAACGCGTGAGAGGTATGCCGAAAGGCGGGGGGCCGATGTGGACGCACCCACTGGGGCCTTCGTTGGAGCCTCCCGTGGGGCCACGAAGCGCTTGGCGGGTGATACGCTGGGGCCTTACTTAGGTGGAGCCCCCTATGGCGCCACGAAGCGCGAGGGGTGTGCCGGCATGGGCTGGGGGATGCTATGTGCCCCGCCAAACCCTCCAGGGACCCGGGGAGCTTCAGTGGAGCTTCCTATGGGGCCACGAAGAAGTCTGTGAAGAGTGTGCCGGCATGGGCCAGGTGGCCCCGCCCCCTGAGGGCTTCGGTGGGGCTCGCTATGGGGCCACGAAGCGTGTGAAGAGTGACTTCCCCATCCGGGGTCTTCGGTGGAGCTCCCTATCGGGCCGCGAAGCGTGTGAGGGGTGCACCAGCATGGGCCAAGGGAGGCTATGTGGCCCCGCCCCCTGGGGGCTTCGGTGGAGCTCCGTATTCGACCATGAGGCGTGTGAGGGGTGTGCCGGAATGAGCTGGGGAAGCGATGTACTCCCCCGCCTTGGGGTTTTGGTGGGGCTTCCTATGGGGCCGCGAAGAAAATTGTGAGGAGTTTGCCGAGGTGGACTTGGGGGGCTGCTAATGGCTGCTACGAGCCCCCCCTCCTGGGAGGTTCGGTGGAGCTCCGTATGGGGCCACCAAAACGTGTGAGGAGTGTGCCGAAATGCACATGCGGAAAAGCATCGGCAGGGAGGGGAAGAGGTAGGAGGGGGATGAGGAGGAGGAGAGGAGGAGGAGAGGAGAGGAGAGGAGAGGAGAGGAGAGGAGAGGAGAGGAGAGGAGAGGAGAGGAGAGGAGAGGATGGGAGAGGAGAGGAGAGGAGAGGATACGCGGGGCGCTGTTTCTTCAAAACGAGAAACTAAATGGTCGGGACAAACTGCTTCGAAAAATCCCCACCCAAGAACGCGAGGCGATACCAAGGGAGCACAGGCACACTTGGGACCTGGCGGCCGCGGTTTGTATGCGGTCGTTACTCGTCGAAGACGCGAGGCGGGATACCCAGGGGACACCGACACGCTTTGGGCCTCGCGGCCCCGGTGCGCAGGGTGTGCGAGGCACGTCGGGAGCCCTCTCTTTCAAACCTAGCAGCCCCCACCTGCCGGGTGGGGAACAAGTTGGGCCTCGGGGACATCCCTGCAGGGCCTTGACAACTGGCCTAGAGCGGCCAAGAGTGCGCCCAGAAGGCCCCACGAGGGCCACAGGCGGCTCCAGAAACCTCCGAAGCGCCCGAAGACGGCCCAGAGAAGACCCCCATGAGGCATTCCAAACGCAACGCGCAATGATTTTCCATAGAAGTTGTCTTAGTTTTGTTCGGATACTCGGTTCTTCGGAGTACCGCCCACAAGTGGTTGGGATGCATGCTGTCCGTGGGTGGTTCTGGAACGCACAATTCGGACGTGGAGTATCATCTGACATCCGCAAGCAAAGCTTTCTTTGCAAACGGGGACATCCTATGCGACCGGAATGTTTCTCTCGCTGCCCAGCTTGAGTTTTTCAACCGCGTCGTGACGTCAGTGGCGTGTTTCGGAGCTGGTGTCTGGAAGACGTACAGCGATTCACTGCACGGGGAAGACGTTGCATTCCGGCGTCTGATGCGGCAGGTCGTTGGTCCGCCTGCAGGCGTGGATTGGTCCCAACCGTGGCATGAGACTCTGCACTTATGGCACGAAAAGCTCAGCCAAGCATTGGCGGAACATGGTCTTCGCACATGGTCGAGAGAGTCCATGAAAAAGTATTGGGATCTGGCAGCATACGTTGCGGGTTTACCTCCTGATCGGTGGGTGCAGAGAGCCTTGCATTGGACGCCGTCGGGATCACGCTCACAGGGTCGTCCTCTTCTGTCATGGGACGCGAAGCTATCCTCGTTCTGCCGGGCGAACCACATCGGACCGTGGCAAGAAGCTGCACAAGATTACTCAGCATGGGTGGAAATGACAGAAGATTTCCTGGACTTCTGCACGTCGACGTGAGCAGGCGCGATGCTTCCTTTGCGCACCAGGCCTGAATAGTGACTGGCATTTGATTTTTTCCCTCGCGCCCTATATGGGCCCGCCCTCGTGCGAGCGGGGTGACTTGACTTGACTAATCGGTTCTTCGGTCTGACAGGCGTACGTGGCCGCCGAAGAGGCTGCAAAGATCGCTCTGAGACTGGCCAGAAGGGCCGAAGATGGCCCAACAAGGCACAAAGACGACCCGAATAGAGCCCCCACACGGCCGAAGATGGTCACAAGATGCCCCCCAACGCACTTCAAATCGTGACCCCGTCCTCGAGGGAAACCGTGGTTGCTGGCAACATGGCCCCAAATCCCGAGGCCCCCCAAGGCTCCTAGCCTCCCTAAGGCTCCTAGGAGGCCCCAAAACCCTGCACCGTGCCCACACAGGTGACCTGCGGAGCGGGACGCTAGAGGGAAGCATGATTAACGAAATTGCGTCAGATGAACGCGTGGGAGGGGTCGGAATGAAGTGGATGGGGTTGGGTGGGGTGGTCGTGGGGCTCAAAGCGCTCTGCTTGACTTCCGTTGGGATCTGTCCACGACCACCTTGCTGACACGCGTTGATTCCTTCATTGCAGCAGAGGACGTCCAATTTTAGCGTTGCCGTTAACATTTCGCCCAACATCGACAATGCCTGCTGCCACTGCCCGCCTACTCCGAACACGCGGATCACACCAGTGTAACTGATGACGTTTGGGCTCAATTCAACCTCCCGCATCTTGCTAAGCAGCGACAGCGCGTGTTGCCACTGTCCACCTCTCTCACATGCGCTGATCGCAGCGCTGCAGCTGGTGACGTCTGGCTTCAACTTCGCCTCCCGCATCTTGCCGAGCAATGACAATGCCTGCTGCCACTGCCCGCATTTTTCGCAGGCGCTGATCGCGCCACTGGAGCATACAATGTCAAGCTGCAATTTCACTTGTCGCATCTCGCTGAGCAGCGACATCGCTTGCTCCCACTGCCCGCCTTTCTCGCACGCGCTGATCCCAGCACCGTAGATAAAGGCATCTGGTTTCATCGTCGCGTCCCACATCCCACTTAGCAGCGACAGCGCCTGCTGCCACTGCCCGCCTTTCTCGCATGCGCTGACGCCCCCACTGCAGCAAAAGACATCCAACTCCAACTTCGATTGCCACATTTCGTTGAACAACGACAACGCCTGCTGCCATTGCCCGCCTTTCCCGCACGCGCTGATTCCACCGCTGTAGCTGAAAACGTCCAACTCCAACTTCGCATCCCATATCTCGTCGAACAACGATAATGCTTGCTGCCACTGCGCACATGTTTCGCACGCGCTGATCCCAGCATTGTAGCTCCTAACGTTTAGCTCCAATTCCACCTTCCGCATCTCGCCAAGCAGCGACAGCGCCTGCTCCCACTGTCTGCCTTTCTCGCACGCGCTGATCGCAGCATTGCAGCTAACGCGCGTGAGGCCGTGGGCTCAGCTTCACACGACACTTGAGCCAATTCAAGACATTTTTTCGCGAGCGCCCTGCCCGACCCGCCCTGTCAATACGGATATGATATGGTCTCCTCGTGGTGACCGAAATCACGAAGCACTTCCTTCCCAGGGTTATGATCACACTCGGGGCGTGTAGCAGAATCCGCCGACCCAGTCGGCGTGTGCGAGGCGCTGTCGTCGTCTTCGTCGTCGTCGCCAGTCACAAAGCGAAAAGAAACAAGAAGCGTCGCAGAAGAAACGTCGTAATTGAGTCGATCCCCTTTTCTTTTCACCTCCTCCTCCTCCTACTCCTCCTCCTCCTTCCTCCTCCTCCTCCTCCTCCTCCTCCTCCTCCTCCTCCTCCCCCTCCCCCTCCCCCCTCTCCCCCTCCCCCTCCCCCTCCCCTCCTCCCTCCTCCTCCTCCTCCTCCTCCTCCTCCTCCTCCTCTCCTCCTCTTCCTCCTCTTTCTCCTCTTTCCTCCTCTTTCTCCTCTTTCTCCTCTTTTACGTTCTCCTCTTTCTCCTCCTCTCCTCCTCCTCCTTCTATGCTCCTCCTCCCTCCTCCCTCCTCCTCCTCCTGCTCCTCCTCCTCGCCCTCCCCCTCCCCCTCCCCCTCCCCCTCCCCCATCCGCGTCCTCCTCCTCCTCCTCCGCCTCCTCCTCCTCCTCTTCCTCGTCCCTCCACCGCCCGCCCCATGGCCTGGGCTTGTGTCGGGGGTCTTCTGACCCGGGTCAATCCAAACCCGGGTCAGCAAGAAACCAAACAACCGCAATGCAGGACAAAAAACTGCAACGCAGGTCTTCGCAAACCCGGGTCAACCAATATCCGCGGCCGCCTCGCGGCCACGAGCGGCTCGCTAACCCGGGTCAGCCAGAGGGGGTCTTCGCAGGATCCTGCAGGATCCGGTGTCCTGGCTGACCCCCGTTTGCATTGAACCCCGTCTCAAAGCTCCCGGTTGTGGCAGGGTCATCAGCTCGCCGGTTCCGTTGTCGTCGTGGTCGTCGTCGTCGTCCTTCTGGGTCGGCGGCACTGGCCGTAGGACTTTCACACTAAACTTAACATAGTGGACGAGAATGAAGGGCACCGTGTCTGCAAGGTGCACGGACTGTGGCACATAAATGTGTATGTTTTTGTTTGTTTATTTCCTGGTGTGTATATATATGTGTGTATAAGCACAAAGTGTTACCAGCTCGCTTCGATTACCCTTTGAAACCTTGGTCGCATGGCGCCAGCGAGGCGCACCGCGACTGGTATTCCCCAGCACCGCGGTGTGTTTCGGCAATGAGACACATGGGGCACACAGGGCTATTAGGACCCATGGGCTCCTCAGGTCACAGGTCTGAAGGCCTTTCCGCCGCCATTGGGGCCCAACAGCTCGGACCGCGACTGTGAAGACGGGTACTTCGGGCAGCGCGGCTCCTGGGGATCATGAGGTTCTGAGAGCCCGCAGCCGCACTCGAGTTCAGAGGATTCCTCGGGCTGATGAGATCATTGGGCGTGGGGGCTCGTGGGGTCCTCGGCCTCACTGAAGCCACTGGCTCTTGGGCCCCATAGAGCGGGTCGGCTCATTGGGTTTGTGCGAAGCATGGGGCTCGTAATGGTCATTGTGCGAATTGGACCCAGGAGGCCCATCAGCTTCAGAACTTGCCGTCGGGGTCAGATGTTTCATAGGGCCGACGGGGCTCATAGGGCTTATAGGGCTCTTGAGGCTCTGAGAGGTCGCGCGGGCCTTGGGGGCCATGAGGCCGAGAGGACTTGACTCATGGGGCTCGTAGGCCTTCTGAAGCCCATAAGCGACATAGGGCCCGTAGGGCACAGTGGGCCCGTAGGGCTCATATGGCTCGTCGGGCCCATTGGTGTCATAGGGCTTATGGGGCCCATAGAGGCAATAGGGCTGACAAGGCTCACAGGGTTCATAGGGTTCGTAGGGCTCGTAGGGCGCATAGGGCTCGTGGGGCTAATGAGGCTCGTAGGGCCCATGAGGGTCATTGGGCTCGTAGGGACCATCAGGATCATAGGGTTTGTGGCTCATGGGGCTCGTAGGGCGTAGGGGGCCTCATAGGGCTCGTAGACCTCATAGGGTTTGTGGGGCTCGTCTGAGGATAGTTCTTTGCGCTTGGCCGGCCAGTTTGCTGCCACGTGGAACGGCATGGAACCAGAGCAGGCGGAGGGGTGAGAAAGACAGAGAGATGGGGGAGAGAGGGGAGAGGAAGAGGTGGTCATAGGGTCCGTAGGTCTCGCAGGGCTGAGGAACTGGTTTGGTTGATGGGCTCGTAGGGCTCGAAAAGGCTCGTAGAGCTCATGGCAGAGGTGTCTCGGGGGGCTCTTGGAGGGCACATGGGGCTCACATGGCCCATATGGGGTCGTGGGAGTGACAGACTTGGGAAGGGTCGTAGGGCTCATGAGCTGATAGGGATGATAGGGGCTCGCATGGGTTAGCAAGCATATAAGGTCGTACGGCGCATTGGGCTCGTGCGAGTACGTGTTGCAGGGGGCTCGTAGGGGTCATAGGGCAGATGAGGCTGATGGGGCTCTGAGGGCGAGTAGCGCTGACAAAGGCCTGTCGGGTTCGCAAGGCTCGAAGGGCCCGTACGGTCGTCGGGCTCATAGGTGCCCTACGGCTCAGGAGCTCATTGTGCTCATGGGCCCGTAAAGCTCATGGGCCTCAGAGGGCCTTGGAAGAGGCGTCCCGGGGGCCTCTTGGAGGGCACATAAGGCTCAGACGGCTCGAACGGCTCATAGCGCCATCCGAGCTCGTCTTGCGGGGCCTTGTGGGCAATTTCGCTGTCTTCTTGGGCCGTCTCGGGCCCCCATGAAGCCAGTTGAACCACTCGCACTGTGTGAGGGAGCGAGATCGCGCGCTCATGGTTTAAGAGCGTCTTGGTGTTTAGGCTTGGGCACGTGATTCAAAACATCTACCCCACAACCTCGCGAAACATACTCAATGTGGCCTCTCAAGGCCTTCGCGGGGATCCTTGTGTGGCTCTGTTGGACCGTCTGGCTGCCTTCCTGGGACGTCCCGAGACCCTCTTGAACCGTCTTGGGGGGGATTGGGCCGTCTTCAAACTTTCTTGGGGCTCTCTTGGGCCCTCTTGGGGGCCTCCCTTGGCCTTCCTGGGGCTCTATTGGAAGCATTTTGGGACCCGCTGGGGCCCGTCTTGGGCCGTCTTGGGAACTCTTGGGCCATCCTGGGGCTCTTTTGGTGAATCTGTGGGCCGTCATGGGACGATCTGTGGGATCTCTTGAGTCGTCTTGGACGCTGGGGAGACTGATGCAGCGAATCTGAAAATGCACGATTTCCCACGGGAATGGGACGACTCTTGCGTCTTCGGGGCCTCTTGCAACGTCTTGGGAGCCTCTTGGGCCGTCTTGAAGCCACCTTGGGCCTTCTTTGAGCGCTCATGGGCCGTTCAGGAGCGGCCTTGGGCTGTTTGGGCGCTCCGCGGGACCGTCCGGGAAGCAATCTCCTGGGTCCGCTCGGGCGGCGTAGGATGGGAGCTTCTGAGACGACTCTGGAATCTTCGGGATCCTGAGACGACTCTGGGATCCTCGGGAGACTGTGGAGACAATGAGGGTGGCGTGGAGGGCGGCTCTGAGGAGTCTTCCTAAATGCCTCTGTGGGAGTGGTGCGAGAGAGCGGGAGGTGCTGAGGGAGAAGGCTTGCGACTCTTCCGAACCCTGCCTATGAGAGCGCGTGGGAGCGCTGTGGGGCCGAGATGGCATGAAGAAACAATGCGTCTTGAAAAACAAACTCCTTCCCTGTGTATGTTTCAAGGGTCCACGACCAGTCGGAGCCAGTCCCAGGGGAGCGGTCTTGAACGTGTCTGGGGGTGGTCGGTGCTCGTGAGAGAAACTTTGTGGGGCCGCCCTGCTGTGCTACCAAGGGTTGTCTAACAACGCCCCTTGGAACCCAAGGGAAACAGTTGGAGCTCCTGAGGCATGAGAGCAGGTAGATATGCCTGATTCTCGGTGCCCACCAGGTCAGGCAGTGTAGAGGTGATTATGTATCACATTGGGCTTCAACCTCGCCTCCCACGTTTCCCTGAGCAACGACAACGCAGGCTGCCACTGCCCGCATTTCCCGCAGGCACTGATCCCGCCGCTGTAACTGACTAGGGCTGATCTGTATGATTTGTTCCCGAGAGCGCACTCGCATCTAAGGGTCTCGGGTGCCCCACAATCGGAGGGCCCCCTCCAGAGGCTTGTGGAGGGGCCCCCAGGAGGCGGCCTCCCGGCGGGGCTCCCGAAGGATCGGCTCGATCAAATTGTACCCCATACGTGGAGGAGGGAGGTCGCCCTCAAGAAGCGCTCGGTCGAAATAATCCAAGCTGTGCGCAGACGTCGCCACGCACCGCTGATCTTGATCGACATAGCGGGCGGCCCTTCGGCCCACTGGAGCGTGAGGGATGTTGGCGGGGTGGAGGCTTTGAGCGGGAAGGGCCGCGGAGTTTACGGTCGGGAGCTATTGTTTAATGTCGCGGCGGCTGCCCCGGCGACACGGCATGCCCTGCGAGCTGATGACGTGTCGCTCCGCTCCAAAGGACGGGAGGCCGGGGAAAGCTCGGAACGTTGGTGCTTGGGGTCTGGGACGTGCTTAGCGTGTCGCGCCGCGCCGAGGCGTGGTGGGCCAGAACCGGTGGAGCAACACGCTAAGCAAACGTTCTCGACCCTACACCTTGAGTTCTCTCGCGTGCGCTGCGCTTGAGTCATCCTTCTCCTCCTCCTCCTCTTCATTCTCCTCGCTTCCCCCCCTCCCTCACCCCCCCCCTCCTTAAACGGAAATCGTTCGGCTCCAACCTCACCTCCCGCATCTCGCTGATCAAGAACAGTGCCCGCTGCCACTCTACACCCGTGCTGCACGCGCTGATCCCAGCGGTGTAGCTAATGTGGTCTGGCAGTAGATCCAGC